GTTGGGTGCGGGGGGTTGGGGTGCAGGCGTTGGGTGAGGGGGTTGGGCTGCAGGCGTTGGGTGCGGCGCCCCTTGGCAGCAACTGTGAAGTGATCCGGGATGGGCCTGCTTGGGCAGCCATACCCCCCCAGGAGTCCCGAGCACGGGGATGCAGGTCACGAGTCAGCCCCCCACTGTGAGGTCCTCAGTGGACCCTCAGCACCCCCTAGAGACCCTCCAACCCAGGGATCTCTCAGGCAGGACGGTGACGGCCCAGCAGGGAGACCGAGCCTGGCTCCAGCGTCTCCCACACGAGGGAAACGGGCGGGGTCCCGCAGCGCAGCTGCCCCGAGGCCCGCGGGAGCTTCTGCCCGTGGCCGGGGAAGACCCAGACGGCCGCGCTCAGCACTGAGCATCCGGGGTTGTGCCCGGACCGTGGGCTCACTGGGGCAGCCCGGGCCACGCTTTCTGCACGTCACCATCTCCACGGTGGTCCCAACGGGCCCCCCTCACCTGTGTCTTCCCCTCGGAGCCCCCCGAGCTCCGAGCATGCGCAAGACTTGCCCTGTGGAGCCTGGCCCCACTCAGCGCGGACGCCGCTCTGTGCCCGTTGCTCTGCTGTAGCCAGGCCGCTCCCACGGTGCAGGCGGCCACGTCCAGAAACCTGACCCGAGAGAACGCAAGGTGCACACTGTGCCCGCGTCTGGTGGCTTTTGTCCGCACAGGGAGCCTTGGGCACAGCCAGCTCGGCTGTCCGTGGTCTGGACAGGAACAGGCCCCACGTTCTCGCGGCTGCTCTGGGGACCCTGCCCTACACCAGCAGTTCTCACCCAGGGCAGTTCTGTCCCCCAGGGACATGGGGCAAGGTCTGGAGACATTTGGGGCTGTCACACTTGGGGGGTGTCGCTGGCTCTCGGTAGAAGCCGGGGTGACCCTCCACAGAGACGGCCCCACCCGAAGGTCCATAGTCCGAGGAAGAATCGTGCCCTACACACCCCCACCCACAGGCCGCGCCTGCACTGTGGCTCAGGGAAACACGCCACCCACATGGTGGGGGCCGAGCTCGCATGGGGCGCCTGGGCCTCAGCTGTCTGTGGCACAGAAGAGGGGACTCGTGACAGGTGCAGGCCCAGGTGATGTGGCAGGTCAGGTGGGCTGTCGTGCTCAGGAAGACCCCAGGCACGTGGCGTGGCAGGACAGAGGCCCCCGGCCCCACCGCCCTGAGCCCTGGGGAGTTCCCCTCTCAGCCGGGCATGAGGATGACACGGTCCCGCACCTGGTAGGTGTGCAGAGAACATCTGCCAGGGACGGTCAAGCCAGGCTGGCAAAGGGGTGGCCCATCACTAGGGCAGGGGACAGAAAGGAAACAGCTGGGTGAGTGACCCTGAGCATGTCAGCACTTTGCTCTGTGCCTCAGTTTCCCTCTGTAAGTGCGGCCGCTGGAGCCAGGTTCTATTGACCCTTGCAGCTTGGATGCTCCTAGGTCCACGGCCCCCAGCCTTGGTAGGACAACTGTGGCTTTGGGACAGCAGTCCAGGCCTGGACACCTTCAAACAGGCCGCCAAGCCTGCCATTGCCTGCCGGGGTGGGGGCCTGGGGGCCTGGGCATGCAGCCGTCGGCTAACCCCCAGGGAGCACTAGAGGAGGCTGAGCGAGTCCCACTCTGTGGCCCAACAGCAGCACATCTGTCTTCATGTGCCCCCAGCCCAACCGTCCCAGAGGACATCTCTAACAGTCAGTGTTCTCGTTGGGTCTAGGAGCGTTTTGTCCTTGGCCTCCCCCATCCTCCCACAGCCCAGACACCTTCGGGAGCCCAAGGGGGTGCCGTCTTCCTGTGGTCTCACAGCCCACTGGCCGTCCCCACTGATGGTTAGAAATCCCCACCACCCCTGTCCCACTGCTGCTGGCTGCGTCCCCGACCACGCTTGGGGCCTCGGACAGCCGCCCGCATCTCCAAAGCACCAGCCTCGCTATTCCTGTGGGAAGACGGGAAGTCTTGGTGACTAGTAGATTGTCAACGCTCTCCTTGAAAACCTGTTGATCCCGCCTTAATCTGGGAGCAGAAGCAACAAGCTCAGGGGCTTTCGTGAGGAAGTGTGGGGTCGGGGTGGCTCCCAGATGTGGGGGAGGACCCGACTCCCCGGGGGATGCAAGGCTTGGAGGGCAAGAGTCCAGGGGCCTCCTCTCCATGTCGACTTGTCTTCCGTGGCCAGAGACGTGGCCTGAGTGCCAGGGAGGGGGCTTCCCCTGCCACAGACCCCACTGGGAGGGCGCAGCAAACCCTTCCCGCCTGGCCCCGAGGCAGTGCGGGCTCAGGGGCAGGAGCAACGCCAGAGGCCCGGACCCCGGGCTGTGCCTGCGGCCGTGCCGGCTCCTGGCGGGTCCAGGGGCCGCTGCCCAGGGTCAGAGGCTCCCGAGGAGCAGGCTCCAGAGCCGGGCCCCCGGCAGGCAGCGCTTGGCCTTGGGGGGTGAGTCTGGCGGGCCGAGCCCAGCACACAGCAGCGTCCTGCCTCCCTCCCCCACCCGCCTCTTCCCAGGCCAGCACTGTGTGGTCACTTTCTTGTCATTGTGTTCTCTGCAAGGGTGGCCTGCCCTGCCTGCCCCAGTGCCACTTGCCGACAGGTACCTGGAATGCCCCCCGCCACTCCCGCTGTCACCCCACGCAGGTCTGTGGCCCTGTCCTTCCACTCCTGTGCCGGGGACGTTAGAGCCTGGCCCGAGGCTGTGCTGGGTCCCTGCCCGGGCTGTGCATCCACCCCCCAGCCCACCGGGGATCCCGAGTCCTTCCACGTGGGAGCCTCTCTGTGTCACAAGCAGCGTGGGACCTCGGCGCCCACCGCGCCACACACCTGCACACAGTAGCCATGTTTCCTCGTCACCGCGACCCACTCCCTGAACCAGCCTCACAGGCCAGGACTCAGGTCTGGCACCTGGCAAGGGCGGCTGAGCGACAGCAGGGCTTTCTCCTGGGGAGCAACAGCTCCAGGCCACACCGGGCCCCCTTCTCCGGGCCTCCCTCGAGGCCCCTGCCCCCTCCCCGCTGGGTCAGAGCCCTTCGGGGGCGTCCAGCAGCCCCACCAAGGACGTGCACTCTGGTAGCAGCTGCTGCAGCCCAGGGCGGGTGGGAAATGAAGCTTTTGTTCTCAGCGGGGATGGCTGGGCTGGGCTGAGGTTCCGGGAAGCCGTGGGGTGCAGGAGAGCCCGACGGCCAAGAAGTAGCTGACCCCGGAGGCCAGCTGCGAATGCAAGGGTGTGACAGGAAGTGGCCGGCGTTCACCAGTGGGGCCCACAAGAGTGACAGGTTCAGCCGCAGGAGGGGCCAGCTCCAGGGAGCTCGGGCCCAGCAAAGCCTGTTTCTCCGCAGACATACTATGATTCCACTGTCCTGCCCGCCGCCCAGGCCCGGGGCGTGGCTGCTAACCCCCGGCCCTCGCAGCCCTGTGGGGATGGCAAAAAGCCACAGCAGTGGGGCCCAGCCTCCACCTGGCAGACAGAGCCTGTGGTCTACCTGGGCCCAGGCAGAAAAGTCACTGATGAAGACTCCCTTCTAGACTCCAAAGTCAAGAAGTTTCAGAGCCACATGTTAGTTTTTAGGGTGACAAAAATTATTAAAAAAACAACTCCCCCACAAAAAGTATTTGATACATTGTAGAGCCTTGAATGTAACCAATTTCTTTCATTTGTTGTAAGTGACACATCACAGTCCAAGGAGAGCCACAGCAGCGTCATCCCGGCTGTGAAGAATTCTATTTAGGGTCTGGTATGTCCAGAATTTGACAGCACAGCAATTCCTTCCCGTAAAAGCAATGCCACGTGCTGAAGGGACACCGTCACTAAGCTACGCGCAAGCTCAAACACGGTCATGAGTTGAGGGTGTCAACAGAAAAGAACCCAAACTTTGTAAAGTAATTTAAAGAGGTTTATTCTGAGCTGAATATGTGTGACAATGGCCCGGGGAGCCACACCCAAGAAGCCTGGAGCAGCGGGACTCGCCGTGGCTGGGTCACCGTTTGA